TTCAGCAGCTGTCTGAACTCAGAACTATGCCCCAAGGTTGAATTTGTTAGGCAGTTTACAATTAACCACCAGTATGTTGTAATAATTCTAGTTTGAAAAGAAAAAGCAGAAATAAATTATATCAAGACTTTTTATGGGATTTTCAGCACATTTCTTCAGACTTCAATTTTACATTCCTACATCTAAAATTTAAATTTATGACTAAGTCTTGCTTATGAATGTAAATTTCTAACTTGTTGAGCTAATGATGAACTGTAATCAGCTTCTTAGTTACTCTGTCACCTACACTCACAACACCTCAATTTCATGTCAGGTCACATGTGTGTGCAAGGTGTAAGCCAGTCATAATGATGGATATAGCCAAAGCCATGCTGGCTCACATGGAAAAGGGAAGAAGACATCTACCTCTCCATCATCTAGCAGTCATCACTTCATCCACAGACACCCCACATACCAGTCACAGAACCCTACACACCAGTCACTGTGTCTGGTGGATCACGGAGCTGCTGACGCTTACTTAGCAGGAAGGTCTCAGAGGAGGGCAGAGGCAGATGTCTTCCATGCAGATGAACAAAATGCAGGTTTCACACCAGGGCAGAGAGGACAAAGTAATTCTCATGCTCAGGGCTAAGACATGGCAGTTTCAGGCCTTTATGGAACAAGTAGTTTACTAGATGCAAAGCTGAGTAAGTAGATCAGTAATTTGGCTTATTCAGACTTGCACTTTGTGCATAATGTAGAGTACTGGGGAAAGTCAACAAGTTAATAAAGAATAGCCCAATAGCAAGCATCCTTTTAGAGAGAGGTCTTTATCATCACTAAAATAGAACCTTATAACACAGAATCATAGACTCATAGAAGGGCTTGGGTTAGAAGTGACCTTAAAAATCATCTAGTGCCATGGGCCATGGGCCAGGAGATCTTCCACTAGACCAGGTTGCTCAAAGCTCCATCCAGCATGGCATGGAACATTTCCAGGGATGGGACACCCACAGCTTCTCTGAGCAAATTGTTCCAGTGCCTCACCACCCTCACAATATTTTTTCCCAATAGCTAATCTAAATCTACCCTCTTTAAACTTAAAGTCATTTCCCTTTGTGCTATCACCACATGCCCTTGCAAAAAGTCTGTATAATTCAGGACAAAAGCAATATTTCACAAATTACCATTCTATATCTTTTCACTGTGTCCTCAACAGAAATCTCTTAATCATGTTCCATCAGACACAGATATTTTTTAATAAAGAGTGAAATAATAAAATACTATCAACTTCATTCAGTGTAGGTACAAACATTTTAACAGGGATTTATGAAGGATTTCTAACACACTTTGCTTATGCTTGTGGTATATAGCCTTAAAGGTCACTCCAGCATCTGAATTAACAAAAAGGATGTTGTGCAGAAGTTTGGTCACTTGCCTTTCATTTAAAGCATCTTCTGCTTTCAGGTCATTATCAACATTCATTCTAATCATAGCAACTTTTATTTTTACTGGGTAGTCAATCTGTGGCAAACTATCATCTTCAAATCTTCATGAGCTTCCTCTTATCTTGCTGTATCCTGACCTTGTACATTAAATTTTACTCGAATGGGTAAGTAATAACATATCAGAGATATTATTTTATAAAATGAGTATCTGATAACTTGCAGCTGAACTTAATAATACATGTAAAAAAACCAATCTTCTTTCACAGGTCTAATTCTTGCAGTTGTACTTTTCTCTATGGGACAGACCCTTATATCTATAGATTTTGTTTGTTAACAGTCACCAATGACTCCTAAAATGAAATAAAGAGTAAGAAACTTCAATGATACATCATGTAGCAATAAAAGCAATACCCCTGCAGACTCCATATAAATATTTTTAAACAGTAGCCCAGCAGATTTTAATTAACATCAAATAAAATATTTAGAATGTTTGCACAAAATTGCTTATGACATGAAGCATGAAAGTCTATGGGCTTCTAAGTAATGCACACTTTAAAAAAAAAACCCAACCATAGTCTCAGTAGGGGGAGAGCATCGGCAGAGCAGGTGTTCCATTGTGGATCAGGAGTACTGATTACATACTGATGCTGAAGGGGTAGATAGAAGAGTAAATTTGTCAGAGGATCAGCCAATGTACTGTATTTCTCATTATGTGGATTAAGGGATGGAAAGCAGACTGCTTCTGTTACAGCTGAAGTAATGAAGCAGCATTACAAAGTACAAGTGCTCATCTGACAGATACCTCTGTACCACGTCTGGCTGAGATAGATCTGGTTTTCCTCATAGCAGCCTGCAGCCACAAGGTGCTGTCTTTTAGATTTGTGACTAAAACAGTGTTGATAACACACTGATCTTTTAGCTGTTGCAGAACTGTCCTAACAAGAAGTGGAGAGCATCAAGTCCCTCTCTGCTACTCACTCTGCCCACCAGTGTGAAGACTGAGGGTGTGAAAAAGGTTGGGAGGGGACATAGCCAGAACAGCTGACCCAGACTAGGCAAAGGCATATTCCATGCCATATAACATGATGCTCAGTAATAAAGCTTGGAGCTCACCTTTCCAAAGAAGCTGTTCCCTAGAGACTGGCTGGACATTGGTCTGCTGGTGAGAGGTGGTGAGTGACCACCTCTGAATCACTTGGTTGGTTGTTTCGCTTTCTTTTTTTTTCTCTCTCTCTCTTTCCTCCAGTAATTGTCTTTATCTTGACCCAAAAGTTTTTCTTACTTTTGCTCCTCTAATTCTCTTCCCCATCCCACTAGGTTGGAGTAGTAAATGAGTGAGTGGTGTGTGCTCAGTTGCACCCAGCATATCTCATACATGGAATATTTTAATAAACTGTCTAAATTAAGTAAATAATAGAAATGGTAAACATGAAGCTGCTCAAGTATCTCAGATATCTTCACTGACTGGTAAAGAACTACTTGGCACAGTCACCCAGTGTCAATGTCTTCAAATGACTAAGGATTGGGATGCTCTAATTGAAGCTTAAAAAAATAACATAACAATACAAAGAAATTTTTAAAGAACTTGCTATGGTGTTTTCTTCAGTGAATGATTTTCTAGGTCAATTAATTTCTGAAAGTTAAGACTTTCTCTCTTTAAGCTTATCCTCAGACATTCTGAGACATTGTTTCCGACATTTGTGCAATGAACAGTTGGATTCCTTTCTGAATTGACCTAATCGGTGATCTAAAGCAATCTTTGTTAGTTTGCAAATTACATATTGAAACAAGCTATTCTAATCTCTAAACATTAGGAAAAACCAATCCATGAAGCAACAGGAAAGCAGTGTAATTTTCCTGTTTGGAAAGGATTGTGCTAATATGGTTTTCACTAACCATAAAAATTTCATAATGCACCCAGAAGCATCATTAGAGAAACAGCATTTATAGTTCTTCCGATCTATTTGTTAATGTCAAGTGGATTATTAGAAGGAATTCAGGAGCTCTTAAAATACTACAGTTTTCATTTGAGGTTTAAAATTTGGAGATTTTGACATTCGTGAACTCAGAATATAAGAATAAATCAGTCCAAGCACCAGCACGAACGTATTTTAATTATTCCCAGAGCTCAAACAGGAGTGAAGTGGAGAAACAGCCTGGTATCAAAATGCAAATGAAGAAACCAAGAGCCTTTGCTTTGTTACAGAATTACAGGCTTATTTGCTGAATCATCTAATACTGAAGAGGCTATGCTAGTGTCAATATTAGAGAAAACATAGTGGCACCCTTCCTCTTCCCACAATTGTCACATATTCTGTATCTGTCTTTCTCACAGAAGCAGGGTTTAAGTGGACTAGATCACAGATATGAGTTATCAATAAATGATATTCATTCAAGAAATTATTTTTTCTACATGAAAACAAAGGGGGAAAATCAGGGCAAACAGCACATATTCCCCAAACCCAAGTTTTTACTCAGGGAAGTAAACCAACATTTTTTATTTCTCCTACTGTATACAAAAGTAATTTCCCCTTCCAATAGATTTTGAAACTCAGAGATGTCTCATCGGAGAGACATTTCTAAGATTTTTTTTCTTTGTTAAGAGGAAATTATTCCCCTGGTAATAAGTGAGGCAAAATCTATTTTAAGGTAGTGACATTTTTGTTATTTATGCCAAAGGTAGGCCAGGTTCTGAGACTTGGGAACAAATGGACGTTCTCCTCAGGCACGGGGATCTGTTCTGCTGAAATCCCTAGGCTGGGTGAAGGAACCAAACAGGGTTTTTGGAGAGATAGAGAGGGAAAATGACATTAGGATAATTTAAGGGGCAGCTAATCCACAATTGCCTTATTCCTGAAAGGGAAGATGTTCAGAGAATTCACGAGTTTTACGTGAGGCCCAGAGGCAGGGCGAGGTGCCGGCACTGAACTTGGTTGTGACGTACCCAACACTCGCCTTTTGGTGGACCCACTATCTGCTCACTCAGATCTTCCTTGGTGAGTGCCAGCTGCTCTGAAAGTCACAATTTCTTGGTGGTGAGAGATAATTCACCCTCAAGGTCTCTACAACGCAAAAGCTTGTGGCACAACCTGCGTGCACCTCCCTGTTCGGTCGAGAACTGGGCGATGTGAGCGTGTAGACCAGCCCACGGTGCGCCGCAGCCTGACGGCTCCGGGGCGGGTTACCGAGAGAGGAGAAATGGAAACGGCAAGAAGAAAACGGACACTTTGGGGTTTTTTGTGTGTGCGTGTGGGTTTTTTTCGTGTGTGTGTGTGGTTGCGTTTTTTGTTTTTTTTGGGTTTTTTTTGCTGGCGCTGACCGGCGGGGCTGAGGGTTCGCCGGCGAGCCTGAGATGGTGCCAGCGGGAAAGTTTGCCGGGACCTCACATTTGCTCGTTTTCAACAGCAAAAACTTAAACCCTCGTCACTTTTCCTGAAAGGAGCAGATTCCCTCCGCCTTTCCCCAGCCTGGAGGGACGGCTCGCGCTCCCCCTCCCGGGCTGCTCCAGCAGCGTTCCCAAGCAGGGAGCCGCCGTGGGACGGGGCGGGAGCGGGAGAGGAAGGGAAGGAGGGAGAGAGGCGGCCCGCGGGGCAGCTTCCTCCCGCTCTCCCTTCCCCGTCCGGCCGGCGCATGGAGCGGACCATGTCCCGCAGCCGCAGCCGGCAACGCTCCGCCCCGGGCACGTCCTCGCCGCCAGGTCCCGCCGGAGGCTCCGGCCGCATGGCCCGGGGTTAGAGCCGCGCCCGGCGGCGGGAGCGGGGCCATGGGGACGGCGTCGTCCCTGGTGAGCCCGGCGGGCGTGGTCGGGGAGGTGATCGAGGACACGTACGGCGGCGGCGGCGGCGAGGCCTGCGAGATCCCGGTGGAGGTGAAGCCCAAGGCGCGGCTGCTGCGCGGGTCCCTGCGGCGCGTCGGCGGCTCCCGGCCCGGCGGGCTCATCGGCGCCAGCTTCAAGTCCACGGCCTCGGTGCAGGAGCTGGAGTGCGTGGCCGAGTACGAGCGCCTGAGGAAGGAGTACGAGATCTTCCGCGTCAGCAAGAACAACGAGGTGGCCTCCATGGTGAAGAAGGAGGCCAAGCTGGACAGGGAGAATAAGCGGCTGCGCGCCGAGCTACAGGTAGCGCCCGCTGCCCCTCGGGTGAGGGGACTGAGCAGCAAAGCTGGGGCTGCGAAGGACTAGTCCCGCTTCCCTGGGAAAGCTGACAGGGAGGCGGCGGGTGCGAGGGAAGGCAAGGTACTGAGGGAATGGTGCGTGCCCCGGTGCTATCCTGGTGAGCCACAGGGATGCCTTCAAGGTGTGCGTCTGGGAATGGGGACCGCGCCGTGCGGTCACTGTGGTGACCAGTGATAGAACCCGTGGGAATGGCCTGAAGTTGTGTCAGGGGAGGTTTAGGTTGGATATTAGGAAAAGATTCTTCCCCCAGAGAGTGGTTGGGTAGTGGAACAGGCTGTCCAGGGAAGTAGTCATAGCGCCAAGCCTGACAAGAGTTCAAGAAGCGTTTGGACGATGCTCTCAGGCACGTGGTGCGATTCTTGCGGTGACCTGTGCAGGGCCAGGAGATGGACTCTATTCTTGTGGGATCCTTGTGGGTCCTTTCCAACTCAGAATATTCTGTGATTCTATCTGCCCTGCAGTAAGGAGAGATGTAGGGTGCTGGGATAACATCGTAGACAGACCTGAAAAGTAATCTAAACCCTTTTATCGGTGATAAAACTCAGAAAAAAATGCTATATTAAATGTTTTCAGGCACTTCAGAAAACTTACCAGAAAATACTTAGGGAGAAAGAAAGTGCCTTAGAAGCTAAATACCAAGCAATGGAGAGAGCTGCTACCTTTGAACATGATCGAGACAAGGTCAAAAGGCAATTCAAGGTATGTCTTGACTTTTCTTTTTGTGGGAAAATGACCAAAAAGAAAAAAAAGATGGATGTCACTTGTTCATGTTCCCTAAATGCTTCTCCAATATCTTTCATGAAGACCTCTCCTTCTTAAAAAAACCTTGAAGTGTCATAGCCTATTTCCGTTAAGATAATCCTGCCAAAACCTCTCTGTGAAACTATGAGGAAAAAAAATAGAAAATAAATTTTTAAATATTAAAAGAAGAATATGCAGTGAGGCACATTAAACTAAATTCGAATGTTATTCGAACATGGGAGTATATTAATTTTTGAGAGTGACAAGAAAACATGGGCTGCAAACTGACATGTGCTGAAAGAATGTATAAACACAGAGTTCCATTGTTTCTGAATAAATTTTATATATTGCATTGTAAGGTTTAACACCTCTAGCTTACATTAAAGAAAAATGTGTACTGGTGCATCTCTTTTGACTGCCAAAATATGATAGCCAGTTAAAGACAATTTGCACTTTCTGGAGGAATGACTTGAAAGGGCCGATACTTCTGCTGTTCCTTTGCTGCAGATGACACTTCTACCACCCAAAACAGGTCCTTGTTTTGTACTGTTTTCAGGATTCTTCTTATCCTTAATTGTAACTGGTGTTAATGTTTGGCAGATATATAAAAAGAGGATTGGTTTTGACCTTACTTAAGAAAACGAAACTTGAGAAATATTTCATTTTTTTAAATTTAAATCTAGGTTTGTGTTTTTTTCCCCACATGACAGTAATATTTTACAAACAGGACATCTGGAGATGCTTGATCACTTTCTATCATAGGAAATTTAAATTTCTGCAACAATAATAAGTAAATACAAGATTATATGTGATTGTAAAAAAATTACATAGAAGAATAAAAGGGAACCTTTGAAAAAAATATTGCATGTAGTGATTTTAGAAGACAATAAACTTTAAAAAGTGAAGAGAGTCATTTGCCATTTTTAATGAACATACTAATGCAGGCTTCTAACTTTCAGAATGGTATACTAAGGTTTAAAATGGTAACATTTTAAAAATAGATAATTTTAAATTATGTTTTCCTGCTCATTTTTAGACTACTGATGGCTTTGTGTTCACATTTTCATGCTTTTGCCTGCTGAATGAATGCTAGAAGCTTATTTTTCAAATTGAAAGTAGATAACATGAGTTCAGGAACTGATACTGAATTTTAAATTTTTTTAATTATTACCTGCTCGTAGATTTTTAGAGAAACTAAAGAAAATGAAATTCAGGACTTACTGAGGGCCAAACGAGAGCTAGAAGCAAAACTCCAGAGACTCCAGGCCCAAGGAATCCAAGTGTTTGATCCTGAAGAGTCTGATTCTGATGATAATTGTACGGATGTTACAGGTGAGAATTTTATCCCCAATATTTTATGTTGGAGCATGACTGAAGTCTCAGTAAAGCACAAGACAGATATTTATGTTCTTGTGAAAAAGAGTTTTATTAATCCAGATGAAAAGCAGCTTAAAGTGGTTTAAGAGATAAAAGCAATGGACTTTGCAAACTTGTTTTAGATTGTGAGAACCCCACATTTCTAGTCTTACACATAAATAGATGATGAAGACCAAGTACTGTCTAGACACAGTGACTTGAATGTTTTTTGAAAATTGTTCCATGAACAATTCTGAGTTTTCTAGTCTTTTCTGAGTTTTCTGATCCTAGATCTGAGAGATCATGCTCCAAAGGATCCAAAAATCACACCTGAAACTAGAGGCAATCTTAGACACTTTGGATGATGACATATACCAGTCTCAGCTGCTGCACTTTTCAGAGTAGCAGTTAGACATTTACAAAGGTGAAGTATATACAAAATCTTGTTTATGCTGTATGAAGTATTTGATATCATAGGAAGTGTTCAGATGGGTGTGTGATCAGTCCACTGACTTCGTATCTGATTCAGAATAGAGCAGTAATTATAGCAGACTTAACACTCCTCAGGATGACCATGAATGCTTGCACTATAAGGGGTTACTGAGGAAAAGCTGTGTGCAAATGCTGTTGCTTAACCTTTGTTTTGCTTATTGAGGTATGTCAACCATCACATCTTGGCAGGAGTATTTAGAAGTGGAAGTGTTTCAAAATACACTGATTTTTTTTTGCATAGTAACTGTGCAGTATCTTGGGCTGCATCAAAAGCAGTGTGGCAGCAGGTCGAGGGGGGCGATTCTGCTCCTCTATTCACTCTGGTGAGACCCCACCTGGAGTGCTGCGTCCAGCTCTGGGATCTCCAGCACAGGGAAGACATGGACCTGTTGGAGCAAGTCCAGAGGGGGCTGCCAAGGTGATCAGAGAGGTGGAGCACCTCTCCTAGGAGGAAAGGCTGAGAGAACTGGGTTTGTTGAGCCTGAAGAAGAGCAGGCTTTGAGGTGACCTAATGGCAGCCTTCCAGTACCTGAAGTGAGCCTCCAAGAGAAATGGAGAGAGACTATTTACAAGAACATCTAGTGACAGGACAAGGTAGAAAGGCATCAAACTGAAAGAGAGTAGGTTTAGATTAGATATTAGGAAGAAATTCTCTACTGTAAGGTTGGTGAAGCACTGGAACAGGTTGCCCAAAGAAGCTGCGGATGCCACATCCCTGGAAGTTTTCAAGGACAGACTGGGTCTGGTATTGAGCAACCTGGTGAAAGGTGTCCCTGCCCATGGCAGGGGGGTTGGAACGAGGTGATCTTTAAGGTCCCTTCCAACGTAACCCATTCTGTGATTCTATGATTTGATGAACTTTAGTGGTATAGAAAGTAGTTTTCCTTTATATATTTTTTCTTTCTCCTTTTGTATTAAATTAACTTTTCAATTCATACTTCCCTTCTTATCTCATTCTAAGTCTTTTTCAGTTTCCTGATTTTCTCCATGGAAGGTTTATTTAGTGTCTTGAATGTTGTATATTGGTGGGCAGAAGTGTAATCCAAACATATTATGAAGAGATGCTGTCAAAGCTGTCTCAAACAGCCCAGATTTCAATCCTGACCTACAGCCCCTCTATGCTTTTTCAGTGCTGGAGCAATTCCTGAACAAAAGTTGTCAGTTTTGTGGTGGGCACAAATGACTGTAGCAATAATGTGAACTGTTTTCCTGATTTGTAATGCAAGTCAGTATTTGAACTAACAGATGTGAGCAATCTGTGTAATAGCAAATATTAGCAAATAACCTCATCCTTAACATCATGGATTTGCATTATTTTTGAACAAGCGCCCATTTAGAACTACAGCACATAAAGGTGTGAGCAAATCTGCTGAAGGAGAGAAAAATTGGTCAGTGGCATGTGGCTGTAAGTTTCAGCTGGACTATTAAGGACTGATAATTAACCTTGTTTAGTGGCAATGAAGAGGGTTTTTTTGTTTTCCAATTTTTAGCTACTGGGGCACAATCTGAATACTGGAACGGAGGAGCGTTGGGAAGTGAGCCATCCATGGGTAGTATGATGCAACTTCAGCAGTCTTTCAGAGGGCCTGAATTTGCTCATAGCTCCATAGATGTCGAGGGACCATTTGCAAATATAAACAGAGGTAAGTAATGGTAGTTTGTTTTGCTGGGATTATAGTTGTCTGTGTAATTTTTCTATCCATTCTTATCCATATCTGTCTGTTCTTTCTTAGCTGCTTTTGTGTCCGTTCTTGGGAAATTTGACTAAAGGGTTGTTTGGAATTTTTCTTTGTAAAAATAAAAGGAAATGTAGCTGTAGGCACTAAGTTTAATATATGTGGTGATTATGGCATGTGCAGCAGTGATTTTAGCAAACATCAGTGACTGGTGCTTTGTTGTGAGTAAACCAAATACCATTTTGTTACTTAAATTGACGATGGAAGATGGTGACCTTTCTTTCAGTATCTGCTGGTGTTCTATTTTCTGTTTGTATTCTAGTATACTACTATTTTAGATAAGATGTATTATTCTTAATATCAACAGGTGATGACTTGTGTTTTATGCAGCGCAATGAGATGTGAAGATCTCTAGACTTCATTTTGGTTTTTTTTTCATTGGCAGATGATTGGGATGCTGCTGTTGCCAGTTTATTACAGGTCACTCCTCTGTTTTCCCATTCTCTGTGGAGTAACACAGTAAGATGTTATATTATTAGTACTGATGAGACTCAACCAGAAATGAACATCCTAATTAGAGTAAGTACCTCACAAACTTATGCTCACTTTTATGCTATTTTGTTTCCAATGTGATACTGATTCAGAAATTGGTCTAATATTTCTTAAAAGTTTTAGTAGATGTAGTCTGATTTCAAAAAAAACAGTGAAATATTTTCAAGGACTTCAGGGAGAGAAACTGCCTAGAGAAAAGAAACAGATTTGGTGAGTAGGTCTTTAGTACTATGCACGTTTAATAATAAAGCACTGTTATTCGAATTTGCTTACAGAACTACTCTCCAAAACTTCAAAGAGTCTGTGAAACAATGGGGTACTTCTTTCAAGTTGTTAATTTTTCATCAGAAAATGAAAGGCCTCTTCAGGATGTAAGAAAATGGGAAATTGAAAAAAGTTCATTAGTCATTTTGCTCCTGCATTTAACTTTGCCAAGGTGAGGATTTTCCAGACTGGTAAAACAAATGGAAACTGGTAATTTATGCAGAGCACATAGCTTATTAAAATGTATATGATGTTTTGCTCAGTACATTTCCTAAGCTAATATCTTCAAAGTGATACTCCTTCAAACTTTAGGTTTGCTAGTGCAGACACTTGAAAGGATGTATCAGCTTTGTAGCATTTCCTTTTTCTTATAGCTACAGATTCTCTTAAAATACAGCTTGAAAGATGTCTTCATAATACAGAAATGTTTTGCTTTCCAAGAGCAGCTCTCTGTTGTCCATACAACTGTGTCTTAGGAATTCAAGATGGCTGGTGCAAATATCCTCAGTGGTTTTCATTTGCTTATCTAGCCTTACACCTGTCTGTAGTATTTTGGGTTTATTCTATCACATATTAGTTTCTGCTTTTTGCTGTCTTTTGGATTAATTTCATGGCACTCCTGTTTGTTACCTTATGCCAGCTTTTGACAGTTTGATTTACTGAAGTCATGATGTTTTATGACAAATAGTGATGCAATGTGTTCTGTTTGCTCAGTGAGTAATTTCCTAACCTTCTAGAAGAAGAAACCTGATTTACTAAATGAAAAACACCAACCTAGGGGTACTTTCAGTATTGTGTTAGAAGTATTTGTTATCCATTTGAAAATTTTGGGTGGAGCATAGTTTTGATGTGTGCGGGAGAGAGGGGTGTCCTTTTGCTGAAGAAGAGAAAAAGAAAAGATTAGAAAAGATAATATTAAGAATCACAGAGTGATCATTCCAAAACATCTGTGTGAATGCAAAAATCTGAAGATACCAGTATGCATTAAATTTAATTTTAGAGGTAGGTTTTGAACTCTAGGGATTTCAAATACTGTTATGTTGTTAGAGCTCTTGTGTTAACTAGACCACCTGTTTCTGTAAATAAAAAAATTGGTCCACAGAGAAATAAAGGCTAGTTTAAGACACTAGTAGCTAAGATTTACAACAATAGAGTGCTTTAGGAAACAACCAAGTGCCATGGATGATGGTAATTTGTTTTTATAGAGGAACTGGACTAGAGCTGCCATACATTTATACTCTTAGGAAGGCAGCGTTGGCTGCTGAGGATATGTTGGCTCTGAGGGGTTGCTGTTGCCAAATAACCCAGTTTTATGTATGTGGGGCACAAGTGTTTAAGGAGAAAATAGGCAAGGAAAAAAAACAAGTGAAAGATTGTTCCTGCCAATAGTATTAATTTAGAGAATTTCTCTTAGAGAAACTGATGAAAATTGTAGTGCTTGTATATGGAACTAAATATTTGAGAGATCCCATTTGCTATTGTCAGCAACCCTAAGTCATATAGTTCCTTCTGTAGAACAAGAATGTGAATACAAAATGCTTTTGAGTTTGGACATGTGTAGTTCTCCTCTTTAACTGCTGTAAATTGAAAGACTGTCCTGTATCTGACAAATACTAAAGGACTTTTCCTATAAAGATCAAGGAATACAACAGAGCCTTCAGAAAACTGATGACAGAGCATGTATAGGATGCTCATTAATCAGATATGAAACCATATTCTTTCCATACAAGGCAATTACCTTTCACTCTGCAAATTGGTATGACAGGAATATCAGCTTTTAATTTACAAATCAATAATCATAAAAATGAATAAATGGTTTTAATGGTTTTGGTACAAGTAGCATAAATTTTCCCTTAGCTTTTCCTTGCTTTGGAGTTTTTCTTAAATTCTCTTTTGAAGTATTTGCTTGCCTTTTGCTGTAAATAGATTTTGTAGTGAAACCCATCTTTGGAGCTTGTGTTGATTGAACTGTTTACTACAGCAGTGTAATATAGCACAAGAATGCTGATTTCCAATCTAGTTGTTTGCTGGAGGACTGTGAAGAAGCCTTCTTGAGAAATCCAGAAGAAAAACCCCGGTTAATTTACCACAGAAAGGAGGATGACAGAGTCAGTTCAGTCTCGGTGCAACAGTTAATTGAGCAAATTTCTTACGTGAACAAAGCAAAGGTATGGCATTTAAAAATTGTTTTAAACAACACTGAGTGCTAGTAGGCCCAGATTTTAGGAGAAATGGCATTACGCTCATTACTCTGGATGCTCTAATGTAAGCAGATCGATGAAGCTGTAATTTATGAATGTTACAAAATTTTCATTAGCAGAGGAGAAAAAAAGCAACTTCTTTTTTCACTAAAAAAAAAAAATCTATGTTATAAGGATAGAATTTCTTACCTGTGTTTAGGCACTTAAATGGCAGAGTTATTTATCTGAGTGCCTCTGCAGCCACTGAAGAGAAAGACGTGTACCTCCAGAGAGATTCCTCCTGTCTGAAAATAGATCAGTTGCCATTTTTTTTCCTCTACAGGGAGAACTGTTGACAACAGTTGAAACTAGATGCCCAACTTTAAAGATCTTAGGCAAAATGAATCTTACATAAGGGAAGCAACAGAATGGAATTTAAATGTGTTCCAGAATGTTTTTGTATGAACTCCTAAATACTGTTCTCAATTGGATTCAGATTTGCATCATGCTTTGCCATTTACTTTTTCAGATTATTGACCATGTTGGAGGTGTGGAGGAAGGAGCATATGAAATCTATAGTTGTGTGGAAAAAATAATTAAACAGGTAGAGTATATGATGCATTTTAGCTTTTTCTGTTCCTACTCTGATTTGTGATCTTAAATTAAGTCAGTGTGATTACTATATACTACTTAGATGTAATTCAAAGTATCTTTTTGTATTTTATCATTAATATCTGGCAAGCAAAGAAATGTGCAAGTGGAAAATAAAACCCCAAACTGAGCAGTGGTTTTATGGACAGAAGAAGAAACACCAGGGGAAAGGGATCTATTCATAGCCTAAATTAGCTTTTATTTTCTCTTTATCCACATCATAGAATAAGGAAAGACTGCGTAGTCCATTCTGTCCTTATTCTTCCTTGTGGTAAGTTGCTCCCTCTATGAGGTGACTAAAATCAATGTCTTGAGACCTGTACATTCAGAGTTAACTTGGTTTAATCTAGTTGCTTATTTATTTATGTTCTCTTCTACCCTAAAAGGAAATGAGCATCTTGGTGTTAGTAGAGTTGCACTCATACTGAGACTAACAGCAAAAATGCCTGCACTGTTAAGAATTGTAATTGTAGTTTTCTCCATGTAATTTTCTTTTTACTTAGGATATATTGGGGTGTGAAATGACAGAACTAGAAGGCAAGGATTTAGATAACAAGGAAGACTCCACTGCTCCTGAAGAAGAAGTTTTTGGTGATGTGTTGTGGGATGCACACGATGAACAAGAGCAGATGGAAGCTTTTCAGCAGGCCTCTAATTCAACATGTGAACTGGGATTTGAAAAAGTAAGTACATTGGAAAGGTATATTCATGAAGAAAAAGTTATCATTCATTTCCATCCCTTGCTAGGCAGGATGCACTTCTATAGAAGAATCTGTGTCTGAAAGCATCCTTGAGGCTATTACTCCTTATGCTAAAGGAAACCCTATTTCTTATATAGATGGCACATTTCTTTTCTGGGAGAGATGCCAGTTTGTGTGTTGTTGAATGGCATTGATGAAGAAGTAGTTGTTGTTCCTGCACTGGGGAAAAGTGCTATAATGGTGTGCCAAAGGCACTTTGTCCTCCTAGACTTCAGGACTTTGCTTGTCAAAAGAAAAGACTGAATGTCTTTCTTCTTTTTTTTTTTTTATTTTTTCTCTTCTTTTATTTTCTTTTTCTCCAAGAAAATCCCATCTCTATCTTGACACCTGGATTTAGGTTTTTAGGAGATGACTTATGAAAAGATTTCATCTCATCTTGCAGCCATGTAAGAAGAACACAGGAAACTTTAAAATAGAAGGCTGCTGAATAGCTCGGTACTTACTCATTTCTGGAAATCAAGTTTTTAAAACATTTCAAGTTGTGAGCGTCAGGAACAGGGAAGGTATAATGAATGTAGGAAGATAAACATTAATGTTGTCACAGAATGTGGTGCAACAGCTTATTTGGGCAACTTTCCTTGATGTTATAATGTAACATAAGCTTGCAGTTTCTGTATTATTGTATTTAAATTCTTAGTGCCCCTATTTACTAGCAAAATATATTCTTTTACTTCACTACTCTTATACTGGTGATGGTTTGGAGGACTGTACCATCTTTACTACATTCTAGAGCAATAAAATATTAGAACATTAAGGGAAAAATGCCAATCTATATCTCAATTTTGAAGACAAAATATTTCTCCCAAGCAGATGATGGGTGTGGTTTGGGTTTTTTTCGTCACCTGTTACAACATTCTTGGACATCCAAGTGAGTCCAAGTGAGTGGTGAAGGAAGACCTTCTTTTGTGTGCTTAGTGTCTCAAAATATCATTTATGGCAGATGCCAACTTCGAAGGCTTTGTCCTGGCAATCATATCCAGTACAGTGGAGTAGTTTGGGGAAACAGGGGGTAGGGAAGCCTGAACAAACATTGTACCCTGTTGCTTTACTATAGTAACACTAACCCCGTTTATTAGCACTGATGGTTCCATTTTAAATGAGATTTATTTATTTTATTTATTTTACACTTTTAAAAAAAATGGTAGTAAATTTTGTGGTTTAAGTGCTTCCTGACAACATTTTCTCCATTTGTATTTCATTTGTATTACATTTCAGTAGTTATTCCTTTACCTTAATAAATCAGTACATTTTGAATCTACATGGTTCACAATCCCAGATACTGTATTTCTGCCTTAAACAGTGGAATATTTATAATGATTGTTTCTTTTTCATAGTATTTTGAACGTCTAAATGACCTAGTAGCAGCACCAGCACCAATTCCACCGCTGCTTGTATCAGGAGGACCAGGCTCTGGGAAATCTCTCCTTCTGTCAAAATGGTAATTTTTTTTTTTTATATGAATGAAATGTAAGAAAAAAGCATTACATTTCAAATATTATATCAGTCTAATTAGAGGTAAAACCAGGGCATTTACAATGCACTGTAGTTACTGAAACATCCTGGAAAGATTTGTGATATTTGAGTAGCAAATTCCATCTGGACTGCCTTTAACATCTACCTGACTCCAGCTGCAACACCTTACAACTGTCTTTGCACAGCATTGCTGTGTGGTTTTGGTAGCTCAATAATGTTGCCCTTTTCTGATACACAGGAGGAGTTCTCTGGAGTCTTTTTAACCGAAATAAAGGAAAAATCCAAATAATTTACCATAGAAATGTATTTTTTGGTCACTTGTAAGCTATGACAAAATTTGCTGGCATGAAAATACATCGATGATGTCATTGCATCTTAAAAGTTACTATCCAGTGCAAGGAAGGGCATTTGTTAATTGCTGTCGGTACCGGGGAGAGCAAAAATGGAATCTGATATTAAAAATTTAATTATAGTTCAGGAAATATCTATCCTATTTTGTAAGATAAACATGGAACACCTCTAGCTAAGATACTGTATCTCCTTTGGCAAAACTGATGGTTTTTGTTTGGGATGTATTTGCAAAATTACACTCTGTTGAGTCTGTTTTTTTCCTTCTCTTCTGTCATTAGGATTCAATTACAACAGAAGCATTCACCAAACACGTTAATTCTTTATCACTTTGTTGGGAGGCCCATGTCTACTAGTTCAGAATCTGCATTGATAATTAAACGCCTTACTTTGAAGGTATGATGTGTTACATACCCTGCATCGCTTCTTGCTTTGGAAAGTGCCACTGCTTGTCAAAAGATAAAATTTTCTACAGATTTTTCTACATCAGTGAAAAGTAATACAAATGTAATAGAAAAGCATTCGAATTCAGATTGGACAGGGCTCTGAGCAACCTGATCTAATTGAAGATGTCCTTGCTTATTGAAGGGTTTTGGACTAGGTGATCTTTAAAGTTCCCTTCCAATCCAAACTGTTCTGTGAGTCTATGAAATGTAAGGCGTTACAAAATGGGGGGAATCTGATCCCATAGGCTGAACATAGATAAATTAAATAGCATCTCTGGGATATTCATAATAGATTGACATCAGCAGTTTCCTTTCCAGTGACCTATATTGATGACTTATAAAGCCATATAAGCTCCTTCCAAAATTCCTTGCCATCTGGCCAATGGGAGAGGCAGGTGGTACCTCTTCTGTCTATGTGTTTAGGAACCTGAGGCTGTATTGGACCAGTTGGCACCACATTTTTCCTAGACTAGTCTCTCTCCTATGTTAATTTATTTTTAATTGTGTAATAAATACGTGGGGAATAAGTGAGGAGTCTTTTTGTGCCAGGGTCTAAGCTTTCTTTTTCCATCACAGGGTGGCACTAAGGACCTTACAGGACTAAAACCTTTAGAAAAATGAGATCAGTTGTGCTATCTTTGCAATTTTCTCATGTATTTTAGAAGTTTGCCTATTTAACCTGTGCAACTTTAAGTCTTTTAAGTCTCCAAATTTCTTGTCTATTGTGTAAACTCAGGTAATCTCTGTAGAATTTACATGCTGAGTTGAATAATTATTCTTTGTTCTGCATATACTGAAAGGAAAGATTTGTATGTGAACTTGACTAGAGAAATTGCCCCAAAATCAGATGGGTTTTTTTGTTTGTTTGTTCTTGTTGTTTTTTCTCCTCTTAGGACTTCTTTCAACTATCCTACGTGATTTTTAAGGTAGAATTTCTTGTATCTGTTTATAATTCTGCAGCTTATGCAACACTCTTGGTTAGTGTCACCTCTGACTTTTGATCCAGCTAAACTTCTGGAAGAATTTCCCCGTTGGCTGGAAAAACTTTCTGCACGCCATCATGGCAGCATTATTATAATTATTGATTCTATTGACCAAATACAGGTATGTCTTCAAAGTATTTGCCATTTGTCCATCTAAAGGAAATCTTGACTACTGTAATAGGTTCAGCCATAGCTATGTAACAGAAGTATTAGTGTTTGTTTTGCTCTAAAGAGAACATATAGAAAATAGTTTTGTAAAAAGTGCAGTGGAGTTATTTTTGTAGATAAATTTTATGTTGGGTTGTTTGGGTTTTTTCTTTCTAAATTTATCTTAACACTTTAATTTTTGAGCAGTTTGGTTACATTACTTATCGAAAGATTCAAGGCTGTGAGCTGACTTATGGGGCTTGTAAATAGCCTTGTTTTTAGGAGGTGAGCATTTCAGCAATAGTGTTCTATCTGCTTTATGTAGTATATAGTCGTGCTGATACTTATAATTGGGTCATTTAGTACCGTCTCAAGAACTAGACCATGAATAATTTTTAAGGACACTGGAGAATTTAAGACTCCTTGCATTGAGTTGTGCAGTTAATGAAATGTATTAATTTCTGGCATTGTTTTGAACAATCTTTATATTAAGCAACCGCAATTTGTTTTTAAGCAAGCTGAGAAGCATATGAAGTGGTTGATAGATCCACTGCCAGTGAACGTGAGAGTGATTGTGTCAGTGAATGTAGAAACGTGTCCACAGGCTTGGAGGTATGTTATATTTCTGAGATGTTTCAAAGTAGCCTGGGTTAGAATTATTATTTTAAATTACAGTTACTCATTGAAGAGCAGACAAGATGTGGAGATGTGGAGATTTAATAGGGTATGATTTTGCAACCTGTGAGACAAATGAGACCTTCTCTATTGTAGTCACAATGACAGATTTTAGCTGTTGGACAATCAGATTTCTGCTTTACTGTGATGGATCTATCCACACGACTGTATGAAAGATGACATTAAATGCAGTCAGATGCGCATCAAGAACCGCAGTACCAGGATGTAGATTCAGGATAAGGTTAAAAGTGGAAATTTGACTTGAGAGAACTAGAATTTCGTAGTAGCAGGGAACAGCTTCAATTACTGCTTTGATATAAATCTTTAAAAAGCTCTAGAGCTGTGATGCCTTTTTTTTCCTTTTGTGTGCTATTTAATAAGGTTCGAATATGACTTTGTTCTCTCTTACCAAAGGTTATGGCCCACTCTTCATCTTGATCCACTGAATTTCAAAGATGTTAAATCTCTCATTAATGCAGAATGTAGCTCTGCAAATGTTAAATTGACTAAAGAGCAGGTATGTCTGTTGTAGTTTTTCTAAAGTACCTTACTTTGCTATAACTTTTAATGAAAACATGGAAAAATGACATAAGCCCAGCTGCCAAGAGAAAGTATTATATTTAGCTAACTAAATACTATTGCTCAAGATAGCAATGGCTCCTAGCACTGAAACGCATATGGAGCAGCATAAATTTTTAACACATAAACAGTGCAGTTGCACATGTTGCTGTAAATGTGTTATTTTATTTTAGCACACTAGAAGGTTTAGTTATTTTTAATTAATTATTGCATAATAATGTAGCAATGATTGGCTGAATGGGGAAAACAGTATTTTACCTTTGTCATGGAGACTGATTCTGTAAGATAAGCCTCATGTTGGGATATAATGTTAGATCCTTACTCTTCATCTTAAATTCAAAAGGAAACTTTCACTCATATGCTCCTATAGCTAGAAAAATATGCAGTGTTTTGTGCAGTAGTTACCATGTCTTAGTGTTCAGATGTTACAGATAGAAGAATATCTAGAACTTTTATTTTCTTGTCAAACAGTGAATGTTTTATTTGTTTGGTAAATTTCATCGGTTCACAGATTTTATTTAAAATGTTGTAGGAGAAGAAGCTTGAGAGACATTGTCGTTCTGCCACAACTTGCAATGCTTTGTACGTCACTCTCTTGGGCAAAACCATTGCTTGGTAAGTTGAGATGTTCTGGAACTTATTATGCTCATCACTAGATTAGAAGACTTTAAGTGGGTTTGTTAGCCTTTTGAAATACTTTCATTTACCCTGGAATGAATCTTGTTAAGGAAACACAGTGGAGAAGTATGCAAAATTTTCGCCATTCACTGACTGCGAATGCAATAGGAAGAGAAATCAGAGAGCATACAGTCACCATTTTGATAATAAGTGAATCCAAATAGTTGTATCTTTTTTCAGCTCTTCTCTTTATATATTTTTTTTAATGTTGTTCTTCTTCCTGGGTATGTCAGTTGCTCCAGTGCTTTTTAAAGGTGTTTGGAGAGTGTTGATAATTGTTTTGTTAAACAGTTAAATTCAGGTGTGCTGTGTTTGTTGATTTACCAGATAGCTTGCCTCATAGATTTTTAAGGCTAAAAGGAAGTTCAACAACTGTTTAGTTTAACATCCTGCATATGGTACTTAGCCTTATAATTCCTGCTGTGGAGAAAATTAATCTTCCCTCTTGTGCAAGAGAATACTTAATAAGTGCATTGGCTTATTATTAACCTAGACTTCATCTTGTTGAGAAAGATGCATTTTTAGTTAAGAGACTCCCAGAAGATGATACACTAATTGATAATTTACTCCGGGTGACTGATTTTCATTATTTTTGTTTCTGTTTTATGTTCTAGAAGGCTTAATTGCTCCTGAAAACATACTTTGTAAATGCATTAACTGAAACAGCAGCGTATGATTTTATCTTTATCCAACCTGATGTTCTTATTTTATACTCCTGCTGGAGGAAAGAACACTGCAATTTACTTTTTTGTACAATAAAATGTTGCGGCTATTTAGAAAAATCAGACAATATGACAGAAAGTGGGTTCTGGAACTCACCTCTTCTGTGTTTAATCTCATCAGGTGCTGTGCACCTTTTGAACCCAGTAGGAATCCAGAGATAGAGCTCTTCAGTAGTTTCAATTCCAGCTTACTCAGCCAAATTTAATATGCTAAACCTCGCCCTTTTTGTCCTCCTGCTCAGTGTTGGAAATACAGGAAATATTGACGAAATCCTTCAACAGTGTTGCCAATGTCAAGACACAGTGTCACTGTACAGGCTTGTTCTGAGATCAATTCAAGAATCATTGCAAAGTGAAAAAGAGAAAGGTCTTTTGAGAGAGGTAAGCAGAGAATGCACCGCTATTTCTACAGGTAATGTCTAGTCTTTCCTGTAAAGAATTTTTCTTAACTTAAAACTAAATGTAAGTCTATATTGGTTCATATGTATGATTCAGAGATTAGTGTGTATTATTAGCATAGAAGGGACAATTTCATTAATCTAATTATTTCTGTTCCATAACTATAGAACATATGACTGCTTTGTGTTAAATATAGACTGAGCTGTTGTCTCACAAAATAAAGCAGAGTTTTTTCAGTATGATGTGATACAGAGTTAGCACTTCCTTGCTGATCACTACCCTGATCTGGTGATTAACTACATTGAGCATAGTAAATGCAGTCAAAACATAGTATCTTGTGAATACAGGGCACTGCTTATTACATTTTTGACTTCTCTTCCTACCTTTACAGAATTTCCCTCTTGTGTGAAACATTTTTTCTTATTAAGACAAGATACTCAGTAATTGCTACTTCTTTGGTAATAGCAGCATAACAACCTTCATCATATTTTACTTAGATGGAAGTTCCTCATGATAAGTTATTTTTCCCCAGTGTTTTAGAGGAAAGTCTAAGGAGCCATTTGTTTATCCCAGTGTCCCATTTGGTGCTTCATCTATTAGAATATTAGTCCGTTAGCACTGAGGTCTCTTCTTTGAGAAGAGAAGAGGGAAAAGGCTTGTGTAGGCAGGATATTTTTTCCTTTGGCTATAAAGTTATCACAGCAATAAACTGTATTTTTCTTGACATTTCAGTGTAACTAAGCTCTGCAGCAAATATTGCTAACCATAAGATGTGATTTCTGCTCTCTGTAGATACTGTGTGTCATTGGTGTCAGCCACAACGGCATGAGTGAGTCAGAGCTGATGGAGCTTTATCCTGAGCTGACTTCTGCAGTCTTAGCCTCACTCCTTCACAGCCTGCACAAAATGTGTTTGCTGACATATGGCTGTGGTTTGCTGAAGTTCCAACACCTCCAGGTAATTCTGAACATGTGCAAGTGAAACTCCTCACCCCCCGCCAGTGCCAACCTCTGTTTTTAGATAAGTTCTGTTGTTAACTAGGTAGGCCTTGATGTTTGCTCATCCATTCTCCTTAACCTCTGATTTGATTTAGAATCACGTTGAAAACTACTAGAGCTGTGATACCAATATTGTTGAAAATCTGATCTTTCAGATCTTCATAAATTTCTGATCTATTAGTTATTAACTCTTTGTGTCCTAGAAAAAACTGGTTCCACAAAAAAAACCAAGAAGAACTGAAGGAGAAGGGAATATTGCCTAAATAACCAGAGCTTTGGTCTAATATAATACAATCTGTTTGCAGTGCCTGTGTCATTGAGAGATTTTCATTCTATAAAATAAAATGTGTTTCATCTTGCATAACACTCTGTATCATCGGCACTTAAGCAAATTAAATGCATTCCCTTTTTTTTAATTATCCTTACTTTCAGGCTTGGGAGATGGTGAAACTAGAGTATATGGAAGAAGGTGAAAATGTTATTTCTGCCTATAGACAAAAACTAGTGGAGTATTTCACCATGCAGTTAAGGTAGGTCAGAATTCCTCAAGAAGTGCTAAATTGCCTCATAGATATTTTTTTTTCTTCATATTCCTTCTTTGGCTGAGTTTAATAAATTGTTATGGCAAAATAACTCTGCAAAACCCTAGTTGTCAGTTTAGAAGTTTTATTGATATGTTGCTTTTTAATCTTGGAATAGAATGAGGACTGTGAAGGGGAATGGGCTATGATAACGATAGAGTTATCAGGTGAAAACATAGGGCATGAATTTATACCATATCAGGTATTTTGTACCTGACCCCGTGTGGATTTTTAACTCCCAGTGAATGCTAGGAAATTTGAGGTTGCTTGGAACTTGAAGTTCATGTCCAGCTTGCAAACTGCTTTGCATTTACATCCTGGGTTAGTGTGTCCTAGCTGTGGGCTGCTGCTTACTGCTCCTCTGAGCATCCACTGTTGGGTAGTAGAAAGCCAGGAGAGCCACAGCATGGCAGACAGAGGGGGCACAAAGGGGCATTGGGCTGCTGGAGGGCTGCAGTCCTGCTGGCAGGCACACAATAGCCCATATGGGATGGAGAAGCAGCTTCCTGTGGAGTGCCTAGGGGTTCCAATGCCTTCTGAGGTGAAATTAAAATGAATATGTAAGAAAATTGAGTACCTAGGTCTTATAGTAATCTGTCTGTTTAGACATTCATGTATGGCAATTGTATGCTTGCCTAGTTTTCATGTCAAATTGACAAGTTCTTTTAGGCCTCTTGGGGTTTTAATTTTAATTTGTTATTCTTTCAATAGTCGAGACCGGGTGACTTGGAGAAGCGCAGATGAACTTCCCTGGCTCTTCCAACAGCAGAGTGATAAGCAAAAGCTACACAAGTGTCTTTTGAATCTCTTTGTATCCCAAAACCTTTACAAAAGGTACAAAGGTAGCCACTGCTTTGGGGATTATAAACATTTCAAAGTAATTTTTTGTCAGTATAAATCAAAAAGTGACAGATGCAGATTAAAAGTACCTAAGTAACAGAGGCTGAAGTGCTAAATGCTGTTTTCATGTAAATAATCTATTTTTTCTATTCTGTTACACCTGGGGGTTGGTAAAGGGATAATATTGCTGTTGAATAGCACTAGTCTCCATGAATTGTCTCTGTAGATGCTGTAGCATAAAGACAATGTTTGTGCATATGGCCCTTTTTTTTCGAAGCTAGTGTCAGTCTGAATAGAGGGTTATCAAAGATAAGATGAGATTCTTATTTCCTTGTTAAAACAGGGGACATTTTGCAGAATTGCTGAGTTACTGGCAGCTGGTTGGGAAAGATAAGAGCTCTATGGCAGCTGAGTATTTTGACTCTCTGAAAGAATATGAAAAAAACTGTGAGGGAGAGGAAAGTATGATCTGCCTGGCTGATCTTTATGAGACCCTGGGACGGTTTCTTAAGGACCTAGGTCTTCTCAGTCAGGTAAGTACGTTTAGAGATTGTTGTAACAGCAAAAAGGCAAATTAAGCAGAGCTCAGTGTGTACTTTCTATTGCAGTTGATAAATTATTGTAGCATATATGATGCTGCCTGCTGCCATCATACTCTGAACTTGGTTGTTACAGGCTGTAGCTCCTCTGCAGCGGTCTCTGGAGATTCGAGAGACTGCGCTGGATCCAGACCACCCAAGGGTGGCACAGTCACTTCACCAGCTAGCAGGAGTGTATGTTCAGTGGAAGAAGTTTGGAAATGCTGAGCAGTTGTATAAACAGGCACTGGAAATCTCTGAAAATGCATATGGAGCTGAACACCCTCGGGTAGCCCGTGAACTTGATGCACTTGCGACCTTGTACCAAAAGCAGAACAAGTAAGCTTAAATACACTGCTGTTTTTCTTTTATGTGGAGATAGTACAAGAAAAGTAACAGGAAGTATTTTCTTCCTGAAGCCAGAACTTTTCTTTGGTTCTTTTTTTGAGTTAATGTGTTCTAATGCAAACATGAGCATCCCCTCTCTCTTCTTGTAGCAGGCCACCTAGGAGGGGCCTACTTTTGTGTTTAGTTAAACAAAAAACTTGTAGAGATAAAGGAGTAGTATTGTCTGGCCCTTGGCAGTTTGGGTGTTTTTATCTGTGACAAAAAGTGTGATTGTGTTCAAGATTCCTAAATTCTCAAATCTGTACCCTCAAGTAACTTAGAAGCTTTCCAGCATACTCATTGATGCTACATTTGACATCCTTCTAACACTACAAATAACTATTTTCAGATATGAACAAGCTGAGCAACTGAGGAAAAAGTCCTTCAAAATACGCCAAAAAGCAGCAAGGCAGAAAGGCAGTTTGGTAAGGAAATGTGTGATATTTAAAAAGAAGTGCAGGGCATGTTGCGACTCTGCTAAAGAGATGATGAAATTTGTCTGCAGAGCTGACAAAGCTCGAGGGCTTTTGATAATTGTGGGCATAGGTAGTGAAGTAGCTTAGCAGCAGCTTTGGTAGCTGCCCTTTCAACTCTGCTGGAAGTGGAGATGTATCAGTACGACTGGAATAGAGTTGAGAGAGATGGAAAAGAAAGAAGTGGATATATATGTTTCAGGGGTGCAGAATTACTGCTGATACCATTGTCTGTCAAAGTGGCAAGGGAAAAAGGTGTTCTCCAGAATAGCTGAGGCATTTATCCTACCAGTGAATACAGTGCTTACTGCAATGGAAAATCCCACTAATGATATTAGGTAACATACTGAGTTTTTATCTGTTTTTTGTTTCTGTGTTGTTTTCCAGCTCCAGGGTTCCTCTTGTCATTCTTGAGCTAAGGGTTTGTCATGTAATGCCTGTACTGTAAGAGTTCAGCTAATAACTCCAGAGCTCTAGTTGTAGCTCTAATGAAAGTAGTAAAAAGCCATAAAAATATTGCTATTTCCACAGTGCTTAAATACAAATGAATTTGGTTCATAAAGATTTGGTCCATTTCTGTAATGAGTTCTGCTGCACAAATATTTTTATTAAGACTGCAAAGATCAAAAATAGGCAGAGTGCGTAACAACGGCCACACTTTTTACTTGTGATTCATTTTACATGTAAGCATTAACTTGGCAGCCCATTTTACAAAGATCCATGTGATGCCTTGAGTAATACTGTAAAAGCATTTGTATATGGTGTTTGGTGTTGGAGATTATATTGATTTGAAGTTTTGAGCTTATAAACCTAAGAATTTGATCTGAATTTGTTGTTTGAACTGTGAAGTTTATGCAAATTAGCATGTTTGATGCAGGGAAAACGGTTCATGTGACAGCACAGTAACTTGAATTGCCTAGGAATTTTCACCAAACTTTCACATTTTAGTTACATTATAAATAAGCATGTGCCATGTAGCTTGAAAAAAGAACTTAAGTAGGATTACTGTGCTTCTTTTGATTTTCTGTCTTGAGTGTTATTAAACTTTAAAAGTAATGGTGATTGGCTTACATTGCTTTGTTCTTCGCGTAGTGTGGCTTTGCTCTCCTGCGTCAAAGAGCCCTGCAATTGGAAGAGCTCACATTGGGCAAGGATACACCAGATAATGCTCGAACCCTTAATGAGCTTGGAGTCCTCTACTACCTGCAGAATAATCTTGAGTAAGTTGTAGTAATTGTGACACCTCCACTGAGTGGTCTCAGAGGTCTAAATGGAGACAAAGCATGGAGAACTAGCGTTAAATATCAGGAGGAGGAACTGCCTAGTTATAATGGATGCTGTCAGTCTTATGGGGGAATCACCCATTGTTTTGACAGAGGAGCTGCTGTAATCCTGTAATGGAATAGTAATACACAACTGCAGTTGTGAGATAAAATATGCCCTTTGCTACATTACGCAGTCTTTTCTACTTTGACAGTTCTCACAGATTCTGCTGTGAGAATCTAGCTCGTGACATATATAAAATCCATTCCAATCTCTCCCCCATTGGCATGAAAGCTGTCTGTTGAACACTTTAACATGTTTTACAGCCTTTAAAGTTACTTGTGAAATGTGTTGTGTGTCCTAAACCTTCACCTCATATGTCACGATTGCTTTATCCCTGGAAGTACTTGATTACTATGAGGAGTTGCCCAGAAGTCTGAAGAATGTTTTGAAGACGGAGGTTGAATTAAAGAAGAGAATAGCTATGGGGGTGTATAATCTGTTAGATGGGCTTTTCAGTCCTTAATGGGGGGGATCCGTGTTTGCACAGAAATACATTAACTATCTGTCTACATCCATCCTAGCAGGATGTATAGTTCCACACTGCATAAAATAATTGCTGATTTGGCATTTGCTTATTTCAAGGAAAGTCCATTACCAGCTGGCAGCACCTGTGAAGCTTCCAAGCTTGAGTTTGTTCTGTTTCAAACTTCAGCCTGTAGAGATCATAGAATAGAATCATAGAATCGATTGGGTTGGAAAAGACCTCCGAGATCATCGAGTCCAACCCTTGGTCCAAATCCAGTCCATTTACTAGATCATGGCACTCAGTGCCACGTCCAATCTGCGTTTAAAAAATCTCCAGGGATGGTGAATCCACCACCTCTCTGGGCAGCCCATTCCAATGCCTGATTACTCTCTCTGTAAAGAATTTTCTCCTGATATCCAACTTAAATTTCCCCTGGCGGAGCTTAAGCCCGTGCCCCCTTGTCCTGTTGCTGAGTGCCCGAGAGAAGAGACCAACCCCCACCTGGCTAGAACTTCCCTTCAGGTAGTTATAGACGGTGATGAGGTCACCTCTGAGCCTCCTCTTCTCCAGGCTAAACAACCCCAGCTCCCTCAGCCTCTCCCCATAGGATTTATGCTCCAGTCCCTTCACCAGCCTTGTTGCTCTTCTCTGGACCCGCTCCAGCACCTCAATATCCTTTCTGAACTGAGGGGCCCAGAACTGAACACAATACTCAAGGTGTGGCCTCACCAATGCAGAGTACAGGGGAAGGATCACTTCCCTGCTCCTGCTGGCCACGCTATTTTTGATACAGGACAAGATCCCATTGGCCTTCTTGGCCACCTGGGCACACTGTTGGCTCATGTTGAGCTTCCGGTCAATTAGTACCCCCAGGTCCCTTTCTGCCTGGCTGCTTTCCAGCCACTCTGTGCCCAGCCTGTAGCGCTGCAGGGGGTTGTTGTGGCCAAAGTGCAGGACCCGGCACTTGGCTTTATTGAACTTCATCCCATTGGAATCAGCCCCTCTCTCCAGTCTATCCAGATCCCTCTGCAGAGCCCTCCTGCCTTCCAGCAGGTCGACACTCCCTCCCAATTTGGTGTCATCAGCAAATTTGCTGATGATGGACTCAATCCCCGCATCTAAATCATCAATAAAGATATTAAACAGGACTGGACCCAACACAGACCCCTGGGGAACACCACTGGTGACCGGCTGCCAGCTGGATGCAGCTCCATTCACCAGCACTCTCTGGGCCCGACCCTCCAGCCAGCTCCTAATCCAGGAGAGGGTACACTTGTCCAAGCCATGGGCTACCAGCTTTTCCAGGAGTATATGATGGGAGACAGTGTCAAAGGCCTTGCTGAAGTCTAGATAGACCACATCCACAGCCTTCCCCTCATCCACCAGGTGGGTCACCTGATCGTAAAAAGAGATCAGGTTGGTCAGACAGGACCTGCCCCTCCTAAACCCGTGCTGGCTGGGTCTAATCCCTTGTCCATCCTGAAGGTGCTGTGTGATTGCACTCAGGATGATATTACAATAATGTTAAAATATTGCTGAACAAATATGTACTGTAGGACAGCGGAGCTTTTCCTGAAGCGCTCCTTGGAAATGAGAGAGAGAGTCCTGGGATCCGACCATCCAGACTGTGCACAGTCTTTGAACAATCTGGCAGCCTTGTACAATGAGAAGAAGCACTATGACAAGGCTGAGGAACTCTATGAGAAAGCTTTGGACATCAGGAGGAGAGCATTGGCTCCAGATCATCCCTCCTTGGCTTACACTGTGAAACACCTGGCGGTGCTGTACAAAAAGATGGTGAGCACAAGCCTGTTACCTTTTCTTAGCGTGTGAATGAACTGTAATGCCTTCCATTGTTACCATCTTCAATCCAAAGAGTGGAGCATGGGAATTCTGTCAGCTATTGGTGTTCTAAATACATGCATAAAATATGTAGTAAAATGGCCTCAGTATGCTTCCAAAGAACCCAGTAGCACTTTCAAAACACACCTTATTTAAAGAAAAGCTATTTCTGATTAATGTCCTCAATGTCCTGCATGCTCAGTATTCACCACGAAGAATTTCTGGTTTAGTGTAGTGAATGTTTTAGCTGCAAGTGAGGGAAGCTCTTCCTAGCTGTATCTGAGTTCTCCACTGTCTGCTATGTGACATCCACATACAAGAGTTTGGTCAATTATGCCCTAATGGAAAAATCATGTTTAAGGGTATACAGATAGTTCTTTTTACACAATGACCTTGAACATTACAGTCCAATTGAGGGTAACTTGAAGGCTTATGAGGGAGATGCTACTTTACAGATAAACTGTCTGGCTGAGCCATCTTTAGCTTATGTTGACCTACTGAAAGATGAGGGTTACTCCCCTGTAAAATGCACCGTGGGGAATAACACGTGTTAATGCAGTACAAACTGCATTTCATAATTTTAAAATGTTTTATGAATATTTGTGTTTGTAGATGGTTGTTCTAACTATTTGATATTATCAGTGTAGTAGTGATATACAATTTCCAACTCTTGAACCAAGATCAAGTTCAGTGGATGACAAACATTTTATTATTTTACTGTTCTTCAAAGAGAAAAAAACCCTTGAAGATAATCCCTTGGATCAAATGTGCCTGTGTTTTTGCTAAATAATTATTATCTGCTATTCTGTGCATTAAATGGTTTGGGGTCACATATTCTCTGCTCGCTTCAGCTTCTAAATTTCCTGCTGCTAGAAACTGCGAAAACACTCAATATTTGCATCAAAAAACTCTTTGCCAGTTTGAAGAAGCACAAATTAAAATCCAGTGGAGAAAATTATTTTGATTAAAGTACAACTGAAAATTCTTTTAAAGAGCTTTCTCAATGAGACACTTGTGGGGAAAAATTAAATTAAGAAAGGAAGAAATAGACATAGATAAGAAGCATGTTAACTGGGAGTTGAATATGCTCAGTATTTTGGAAAATTAGGTCATAATAAATATTCGTGATAAACAATCTGTGCAAAATATAACTATTAATTAACCAAAGTTAACCCCTTATTCTAGAAACAGTTACATCTTCTCTAAGGCTTTTGTTTAAAATAGGTTTTACTGTTACTATCTTGATACAAGAGAAATGAATAATTTTTTTCCCTGTTATTTCTAGGGAAAACTTGACAAGGCTGTTCCTCTGTATGAGCTAGCAGTTGAAATTCGACAGAAGTCATTTGGCCCAAAACACCCTAGTGTAGCAACTGCACTGGTAAATCTGGCTGTCCTTTATTGTCAGATGGTAAGTTTTTCATGCCTAACATGTTTATTTTTCCTGTCCTAGACTTTTTTATGATTTGTCCCTAAATGAAACCAAAGAAACTTGATTGCGTTTAAAAGGGAAATTCCTTATAAGACTTGCATAACTAAAAGCCTGAGAAGGCTGCAGACTTTCTAGCCTGCAACTAATATGAGATTCAATGGAGATGCAATCCACTTGTCGAATTCCTTAGCATCAATAGGAGGGAGTTTGTTTTCTTGTTTCCTGGATTTCTGCAATCTGCATATCTGATTTTTAAACAGGGATTAAAGCTGCCTTAGGTAAAATCAAAGAGCATCTGGTAAATCTTTCAGGACTGAGATTTTCAGAACTGCACGGGAAGTCCAAACCCTAATTAGAATTAGTGGGAATTGCATTTGCAAGTGCAAGCCAATTGCTTTGACAATCTCAATGATCATCCGCATGTGTCAATAGTATTGAGAACTCAAAACACCTTGCTGGTTAAATATGCATGACATTGCATCTAGAATGCTTTGATACTATGTTGGCAAAAAAAGAAAAGCAAATGTAATACACATCTGTAACAAAAAAAACTTTCTACTACCCAAAGAAAAAGCAGATTGAAGCTTTGCCTCTTTATGAACGTGCATTAAAGATTTATGAAGACAGCTTTGGCCACATGCATCCTCGCGTAGGGGAAACACTGAAAAACTTGGCAGTGCTAAGGTAAGATTATACGCTTCAACCCTATAAAAGCAAATTACTGCATGAAACAAAACATCCTGGGCTTGTGTACTTGCTAGGAAAGTAGAGAGCCTTAAGTACTCTATGGTGTGTATTTCAATTTAAATGATTTGAGAGACTTTTTCTTCAACTGTGTTTTACTCTTTTCCAAAGCTACGAAAGGGGAGACTTTGAGAAGGCAGCTGAACTTTACAAGAGAGCTATGGAAATAAAAGAAGCAGAGACTTTGTTGATAGGTGGTAAAGCAACTTCTCGACACTCATCGAGTGGAGACACATTCAGCTTAAAAAGTGCATTATCACCAAATATTTTCCTGGAACACGGACAAAGGTGATATGAACCTGCTCCAAGAAAATGCAGTGTCTATTGGTATTTTAAAGCAGACAGAAAATTTGCAAGACAAATCCATTTTTCCAAGGATTACATACTATTTTGGTACTGACACCTGTCTTCACGAATGACAGGAAAACAAATGTTTCAGCTTGAAATCCTCCAACTTTGCAGGCTGTATGGTACGAAGTGAGCTGCTTTCATTGTATATAGGTGCACATATTAGTTGCTAGCTCAAGTTATAGGTAATACCAAGAACATGGACTTGATACCTCTTAGCCTAAGTGCCAGGATTATAACAAGTTAAGCTGAACCCCTTGTATAAACTCTATGGGGTAGTTCTTATTTCTGTGCTGTAATAGCATGGCTTAGAGGATTTGTGTATTTTTGCTTCATCAATCCTTTCTCCCTTTTCAGAAACCTTTAAAGTTGTTTCTGAAGAGATGGTAATTTTGAAAAATTTTTGAAAATACAGTTCCACCAAAAGTTTTGCCTGCAGGGTTATTTCAGCTTTAAGCAAACTTGCATTCAAGGGACTTGTGCAAAATTAATTGCTTTCCTTGGGAAGCTAACGTATCTAAATATATCATCATCTACAGTTAAAGCCGTTGTCAGATTCCACTCTGTTCAGTAAAAATATTTCCAGTGAGGAATTGGAATGATTATGACCCAATTCCCTGTTGTTAAACCTTTAGTGATACTCTCACTATTTAATCTCACTGAATCCCTTAAAATACAACAGTGTATTTGCTGGGAAAACCTAGTGATTCAAAATAGTTTGCCATCAGATAAAGAGATGATAAACCAATCTACCTGCCTCTTGTATTTCTTAACACCATAGTCATGTGGAAGAAATCAGTTTGAAGTCTGTTCTCATACAGTGCACAAATCCATGAATCAATTTAAATACATACTTTTTATTAAAAAATGAATATAAGTGGAAAATTAATTGAAACCTCACTATAATGTTTCAGAGGCAACTAATGTAAAGACTTATTTGATCCAGTTTGAAAAATGCAAATGGTCTTCAGCTCCAAGGGGTACTTACCTTGCACCCTGTGTTTTCCCTCTTTTGGAGCAGAATTAAATATAACCCATTTCAGCCCTTATTCTAGTTAGGAGGATTTTAATATTTGAATAAGGCTCTAACTTGGCAAAAGAAACAGTATCTGAAACTGACAGCACAAATATACAGCTCAAATTTGATTTTTAACATGAAGATTTAGTTTGAAAAAAAAAATCAAAAATAGCTCTTGAAGATATTATGATACAGCAACAAGAGTTGGCACTTCCTAATAGCTCTCTGGATATTTTCCTCTTATTCAGAAAGTGGGTTTTTAATCAAAGCAGGAATTTGACCACTGTATTCCAGCCACCTTGAAGAGTTTTGAAAATGGGAAAGTTTCTTTGCAGGATTGTTACCAATTAACGAGAGGGGCAAAAGGGAAAACAAACACCAACCAAAAACCCTCAACCTACTTAGTTCCTTGCCTGCTGTTCCTAGATCTGGTAAATCCCTTCTCTAAAGAATTACCAGATATCTCGTCTGTCACCTCTGTTCTGATTTTAACATGTAAAATGATGTATCTTGCTCTCCTGAATAGTTTTCCTTAATGTTTCTGATTTAAATAAGAAGCAACTTTCTAGATCTTCAGTGTTACATTAGACTTGACTACAGAAAGTAAAGCAGGATCACGTAGGACTAAGAATCCTATGGCCACGTGTCAGCTGTAGCCACTGTGTGCTCACAAGACAGCTGTCCCTGTAGTTGCACCTCATGGACAGTAAGGAAAAGTAATTTATATATATGATGTATGCCAGGTAATAATTCTGTGTAGGATAATTCCTCCTCAAAACTGAGGGTCACCAGCTTCAAGGGAGATTTAATTACACAGGCAGAATATCAAGATTTTATTCATCAACATTCATGCGACACTGTAAAAACTGAAAACTTCTTTTATAAGACTGCCAAATAAAGCTGGACTTAACCATGGCAATGTGCTTTAATTTGTTAGCTCGTAACAAAAGAAGTAATAAATTTTCTATTATATTTTACAGTTGGAGTAGATTATACTTGTAAATGTCTTTTTAATTAAAAAAAGAATCCTTAAAATTTGGGTTTTTTTGATGCTGTTTATTTTTAAATAACTTAACCATTGGCACATACAATCATCTTAATGTATTTTCTGATTATTTCAAATTTTTTGTGTATATACAAGTTGAAAGTCTGAAAGTAACATGAGAACCATTTTGTTTACTCTGTAATTGGACATACAAAAGTATATTAATTTGCTCATAAAAGTGTATGTGAAGTTGCCTCTTGTAAAGCTGTCAATCATGTGATAGCAGTCATGTCAGCCAAACAGTTAAGACTCCAGATGAGCTGAGCTGTTGTAGAAATGAGTTCAGCCATTTGCCTCAGGATCTCCAGAGCCAGGCGCGTGCCTCACTGTTATTGTTCCCAACAAAAAGGTGAAGTCACACAGAAATGTAAATAACGCTTAAAATGACACTTGTATGAAGCTAACACAGACTTGGTAACACAGATTCAAGTATGAACCTTTCTAATGGTCTCATTTTTCTATTTCCCATCCCTCTTTACAGTTCATTCTAAGATCTGGTTTCTCCAAAACTGAACTCAATTAAAAAAACCAAACCAAACAAACAGAAAACCCAGTTCCATTTTACAGTATAATGCAACCCACTCAAAACCCACCTAAAACCTCCCTCACTACCTTCGGAGATGATTTTTATGTGTATAATATAACCTGATGTCAGCTGTGGAGGAAACAGATTTTGAAGTCTGTAACCATTGCTAAAGAAGTGAAACATTTTTTCACTAAGTATTCATTCAGCTGCCCTAAGCAGCAGAAGCACCGCCACAATATTGCGCTCTCTTAACATGTTGCTCCGATACTGCTACTACCATCGCTAGCTGGTTCTGTGTTGGCTGCATCATGCTGTGGAAAAGTTTTTTGAAGAGCCCAACTTAGAAATACCTGTATTACACTGAGAATTACCTTCTAAGGTAATTTCTGAAATTTACCTTCTAAGCCAAACTGAAATAATGATCAGGTTCTGGATCAGACGGCCACAGTAGTTAAAATATTTTAAATTGATCCTTCCAGTTCTGCAGGGTACTGGCACTATAAGATGTAGTTTAACATGTGGTAATTCCTTCATATAGCCCATATGATGGGAAGGGATCAGAATTACAGCTAAACTTTCAATAACCAACAAAAATATAATATTTAGATTTTAGAAGAGAGAGACAAAATCTGTTCTTTCCAATGTTGCCCGTACTTTTGTTTATGAAAAGCATCTGCCAGCTGAAATAGTGGCATGCTAATATACAGTCTGCTAATATAATACTAACAAAAAGACTTCACCTTCTTACAATATACTCAAAACATTATCCTATAGGAGCTATTTGAGGACAAGCAGTAGTAAGACATTGATAAAAGTAAGAAAGTTTAAAAAAAATACCATCCCAGAGATATTTAAGGCAGATGAAAAGGCTTAAACGTTCTGATTACTCAGAAAAAGAAGCCACAGCACGATTCATGCAAAGAACTTAGACCAGTGAACAACCAAGGACAAGTGCCAGGAAAATCAGGAGCAGCAACATGAGTGAGGCACTATCATCTGCCCTACACCTTCTCAGTCCACTCCAGCAGATTTCATCTTTCCCTTGTCCTATACTAGGTACTATTCTCATCACATGATAGGGCATATAATGTCCTATGCCTGCTTTTGTTAGTTTGTTCATCTCAGCCTTGGCCATACTGATCAACATAACTGGTCTACTCTGGCCTCCAATCGGGAGGTCTGGAGACACACCATCTATAACGCTGCTGATGCCTTTGAGAAAGCACGCAGGATCACCCTTGAGGAGAAAAGGCAACGCAGAAAGAATAGTGCCTTGCAGAATATACCACCTAAGGAGTCTTTCTGCTGTGCCTTTTGCAACCGGACGTGCCTGTCTCGTATTGGCCTTTTTAGCCACCAGCGTGCTTGTGACAAATGTGGGTAGAGCCTTCTCCAAATCTTCATTCGCGAAGCCCAGCCATGAAAATCATGTCCTTTTATTTTCTACTGAATATCTGGACACTAGCAACGCTGAGAAACTAAAATTTACAGTAGCACAACTCTGTATGGTAAAGAGTGACTAGACAACGGAATATGAACAATGTAAATCTGTGTCCTTCCTGCCCCTGTAACAGTTCCACTTCTTTAGAAAGGTAAAGGTAAGCTTCACTGGAGGTAAAAAAAGAAAAAAAGGAAGAAGACTGGTCTTCTCAAAATCCATGTTGATCTGAAGTTGTACTTAATATTTATTTTTCTACATGTTTCTCATTTTGGCCATGAGTTCTTCCAGGCTTTCTTCAGACTCTGCTACCGTTTCCTTCGTTATCAAATTCTCTTCCTATTAGGAACAGGAAGAAAAAGTTGGCAAAAAAATAGCAAACAACAATCCCCACACAAATTAGCTTTACTGCCTTTACACCACACCGTTTTCCTAGAACCAGGCACTTGATTGCAAGATTAGGCCTAAGTGATTATACGCTTAAACTGTAAACTATTTCGCTTTGCAGTTAGAATGTTCTGGCCACAAGACATACAGATTCTATGTTTCCCAGGTATACTAATTGCTCTTTGACTACATACAGTTTTAAAAGATAAATATGGTAAAAATTAATTAGTCACCAAAAAGCAACTGAGAAATTCACATTTGTTTTCCTTCTACCAGCCCCGAAAAGCATTTATTCTTATCACCTCAAAACTACATTCACACCAGCTTCCGTACTTAAAGAAATATATTTCATAGAAACACAAAATCATCTGCACTAATCAGATGTACTGAGGTCCAGTTTCACTGCAACTGTTCAAGATGGAATTTTATTTTAGGTTTAAAGGCTACCAAACTAGCTGGTAGTATAAAGTTAATCTACAACATGTATTTCAAAAATTCATTAAGAACAAATATATTACCTTTTCTGGGATAGTATATGCTACAGTAATTCCCTCAGGAAGGTCGGGTACCGGGCCAGATGCAGCCTTCAGCTCATCTACTGAAGTTTCTGATACTAATTCGATGCCTTTGCATTAAAAGCAAACAAGAACTCCATTAAAAGGTAGAAGAAAAAGTTCTTTAATAACCAAGCTATCACAGTAGGTAAGAGGTAAGCTGCAGCTTCTTTTCCAAAACAGAGAAAAATTAAAAGCAGAAAGACCTTTGCTTTACAATACAACAGTTCTATATATGTAACTTATGGACAAGAATGGCACCTCTTCTTTGTCCTTACTATTTAAATCTTACTATGTGGACACCTCTGCCAATGGTAACATAAGATTATTTTTTAGATCATATAATAAACAGAATGTATACCCCTGTTCTTGAAACAGTTCAAACACATTTACCATTCCTTAAGACAATTCCTTCTAATTTAAAGCCCTCAAAGGAATATATATTACACTTTTCTGGGATAGTATATGCTACAGTAATTCCCTCAGGAAGGTCGGGTACCGGGCCAGATGCAGCCTTCAGCTCATCTACTGAAGTTTCTGATACTAATTCGATGCCTTTGCATTAAAAGCAAACAAGAACTCCATTAAAAGGTAGAAGAAAAAGTTCTTTAATAACCAAGCTATCACAGTAGGTAAGAGGTAAGCTGCAGCTTCTTTTCCAAAACAGAGAAAAATTAAAAGCAGAAAGACCTTTGATTCCAACCTCTTCCTTCCACTATCACTACAAAATATCTTCCCTTTACAATACGTGAAACAGTTCTATATATGTAACTTATGGACAAGAATGGCACCTCTTCTTTGTCCTTACTATTTAAATCTTACTATGTGGACACCTCTGCCAATGGTAACATAAGATTATTTTTTAGATCATATAATAAACAGAATGTATACCCCTGTTCTTGAAACAGTTATATAAAACACATTTACCATTCCTTAAGACAATTCCTTCTAATTTAAAGCCCTCAAAGGAATATAAAATTCCATGGGATGCCTCAGCACAGTGGTTATGGAAATGAAAAATGCTCTTCAGTATATTTAAAAGGAACACACAATTAATACATTTTCTCACACATCTCTCTCATCTTCAGACCATCTTTTAAGAAAGTCTTTTACTCAAGCAGCAGTTACATTTTGAGCCTAAAACCTGCACACTGCATCAAAAACACATCATCAGGTTGTGGTAAAATTATTGTCAAAACCTGTGAAAAGCCAGCAGTAATTGCACAGTATAAGTTACAAAAAATAAGAACTGTAAGAATTCTATGTACCCTACAGTATGTTCACCCAAATTGAATCTTGGTACTGGGAACATCATTTAGTCTCCAGTTGATGACTTACCCCAGTCATTGTCTTCGTGTACTATTTCATCTTCCTTTTCAATTACTTCTTGTTTTGGTTGTGCAGCTTCTTTTTTCTGAAGGAAAACCACAAAAAGATAAAAACCATAATAAGCAAAATGTAATAGTCAAATTTCCAACAACAGCAAAGAAGATCAAATCTAATATTCATGTTTCTTTCAATATTTAAGATAAGCAGCCACAGTTTAGAACTTTGTTAGCCATAAAAAAGGCAGAATACCTGCTGCTTAAAAAAAAGCTAAACCCATTAACACTCAGAAACACAGGACTGCCAGAAAGGTTGAGCAATTATGTCCAAGAAAATATTACTTAACTGAATGCAAGCCCTTCTTCCTACCCTTTGCTTTAAGATAACTCTACATACTGTATATTTAGAAACATGTGCAACCATCTCAGGACAAGGCTGCTGAAAACTGGAGTAGCAATTAATGTTTTGTTTTACTACAGATTTGTATCTTGCACTGTTCTTAAGATTTTAAGAAAGGGAAAAAAAAAAAAAAACCAAATCATTTTTACCTTATAATTTTCTTGCTGTTTTCTGCAATTGTGGTCGCTACATTGTGGGTTTGGCTTCATAGACATAGTTGGGAAGAAATCCTGCATTGCATTGTAACCAAGATAATAACTCACAGTACCAAAATTTAACAGGTATCTAGAAACACAGAGAAAGAAGGAGCTTACA